TAAAAAAAACTAATTTTTAAATTGATTAATTAATTATTAATAATAATAATAATAATAAATAATTATTGTTACGATTTCGTAAAATTTTTTTTTTGGATTTTTCCATGAATCAGAAAAATGTAATAATGATAATAATAATAATAAAGGAAACAAACGTAAAAAAAAAAGAATCAAATTATTTGCGCGACCTTTTCATTCAAGGCCTGAGAATTTTTTTTTTTTTCCGTCACACACACACGCACGTAAAAAAACGTTTTTAACAATTTTTTTTTTTTAACAAAACGATTCGAATAATAATAATAATTTAATCGATAAAAAAATATCGATTTATCGATATCGAAATGATGATATTATTATTATTTATTTTTAAATAAACACAATCGAATTTGAAATTTAAAAAAAAAAGTATAAACTTCACATTTACATCGGATGACTATTTAAATTGTTTTTTTTTTTTAATGGAAAAGATTTAAAACGAGAGTAAAAAACATAATAATAATAATGATAACGATAATGATAATGATAATAATAAATAAAGAGGAAAAATAAAGAAAAAAATAATTAACTAAAATGTTTTTTTTTTATTTAAACGTTCATTAATTTTTTTTTTGCTGTTGCACAAAAAGATTTTTTTCTTTTTTTCCCTTCTATATTTTCCCCTCTCCCTCCACGACCTGTTTCATTATTTAGTGAAACGGACGCGGGGGTACGGGGGAGGGTGGGGGAGAGAAAAACGAACGAAAAAAAAATTTTTTTTAAAAGTTTAAAAAAACTTACAGGGAAATTTTTATTTATTTAATTTTTTATTATTATTATTTTTCGTCGTTACGTTCCACTTATTAAAATTAATAATTTTATTATTAACCTTTCGTGCCCTTTACCCTTTTTCTAATCATAATAATAATAATGTTTTTCTACGAATACAACTCTTGTGTCGGATTATACTTGGACTACTCCATAAAATAAAAATTATTGTAAATTAATTGTAAATTAAATTTGAATTTTTTATTAAAGTCGTTGACTTTTTTTTTGTTTTTTTATTATTAAAAAAAGAAAGACGTGGAGTTAGGTAATAATAATAATAATAATAATAATAATAATAATAATAATAATAATAATAATAATAATAATAATAATAATAATAATAATAACGCAATAGTCGTGTGAATTTTTTTTTGTTTTTTATCGAAGGTTTTTGTTTCAAAGATTTCAAGTTATGCCAAAACGATGCTGACAAAAAAATTAATCAAATACATTATTATTATTAACATTAAGTTTAAAAAAATTTTTTTTTTTTTTTTATAAATCTATTGTTTATCATTTTTTTTTAATAATAAAAAAAACATTTTTCCTATGACGAAAGATTGTAAAAAAAAAAAAAAAGTTTCCGGTGTTTTTTTTGATTTTTTATTATTAAAAAAAAATCTTTGACTTGAGTGATAATGGAAAATAAAATATTCATGGGAAAATAAGAAAAATACCTGATTAACATAATAATGTGTTCTTTTTTTTTTTTTTTTTTTTTTAATAAATGTTTAAAAGTTTTATTTTACTTTCCAAGGTAAATTTACGAACACATGTGTGAGTGTTCAACAAACGATTTTGTTATTTATTTAAAAAGGTAATAATTATTAGTAGTAATAAATAAATCAAACGAATCGTGTTTATTCGATAAGTCTCGTTTAGAAAAAAAAAAAAATACAAAAGAAGGGTTTAAAGGTAATAGAATTTTTTTAATTATTATTTTTTAATGTATATCGAAACGAGTTTTATTTTTTTCCTCTATATATATAATCAAAAAGGTTTTCTGCTTTCAATTTTGTTTTTTTAATTATTTTTTTGTTTGTGTTGAAGCATTCGTTTCAAGTAATTTTTTTTTATTACGCGCGCCTGCATTTTAAAAATTATGCTACAATTAACCTTTTTATGCTTCAACAATTGCATAAACGTTTTTTTCCAGGGTGAATTTATAATTTATATCATTATTCAAACAGTAAAAAAAGAAAAAATTATTTTTAACAAAAAAGTACGATT